TTTCCCGCACTCTAAATCCCTAATGACATTTACATTATTAATTAATTAATTTAATTTCTGCGACTTTCTCTTGCAACTTCGACATGTCGCACGACCACGTGTTCACGCAAGTCCTTCTTCGAGGGCAACTTTCACCCTTAAATTGCACTATTTTCACTCGCGATATATAAAAATAATCGTGTTTAAGTCGCGCACATATTTATTTTATTCCGCGGTCGGCCCGAACACTCGTTTCCTCGCTGTCGATTACTCATGGGTTTGCACCCCATGCTTTCCCTCGCGTCCCGTGGAGGTCGCCATTACTGAAATTTCGATTTTTATTTATAAATTTATTATTTCACCTCCGATTTTTCCAAAACTTCACCGCTCACTTCCCCCACAGTCTCGCCTCACTTCACAACATTATTTATCACATTTTAACCACTTTTTCCCACCAAAATTGAACTTTATCGCGGAGCGACCCCCGAACACGTGCGCTCGCCACGACAGCCAGCCGTGCTCAGTTACTTTTATGCATAAGACTGGCAATCCTACAGCGTCAATTTCTCCGTTACCGTCTACGGGATGCCTACTCAATGCATCTGCTACCCTATTATGGTCTGCGCTATGATGTTCAATGTTATAATTATATTCAGACAATCGAATAAACTACCGACCGATTCTTGGGTTAAGATCTCGTTTGTCCGCCAGTAGCTTTAGACTGTTACAATCTGTTTTCATAGTAAAACGTATGCCTATCAGGTACACGCGGAATTTTTCCAACGCGCTCACGATCGCAAGAGCTTCTAATTCATAGGAATGGTATCGGGCTTCTTCAGGCGTTGTCTTTCGGCTGTAGTAACTGACAGGGTGCCATTTGCCATCAGTATGTTTTTGGAGCAACACAGCTCCTACTCCCTGCGTATATGCATCAGTGTGTACCTCTGTTTCGGCCCTAGGATCGTAAATGCAAACGATTCCCTCTGTGCGGTGCCCCATGTGAAGGGAATTCCTCTTTTTGTCAGATCGGTGAGCGGCCTCGCTAGAATTGCAAAACTTTTTACGAATCGCCGGAAATAACTCGCTAATTCTACGAAGCTCTTTACATCATGAACGTTTCTTGATTCCGGAAATGTACGAATGCTTTCCAGCTTGTATTGTCCCGGTTTTATACCTTCTTTACTTATTTCCGTTCACCGTTGTCGTCTTAAAGTATTTTTGATGCGTGTCCCCTGCCACGTGTAACACCTGACTTCTTGTTATCGTGCTCAGCACTGTTGTCGTTACGGTAGATGACTGCTGTCCTTGTTTGGGGCACATACGCGCTAAATGTCCCTCTTCACCGCACTTGAAACATTTGGCAGTGATTCTCTGTCCATTACAATTGCGAACAATATGACCTGTTTGTTTACAAGCATAGCATCGCGGACCTTGACGGTTATAGGTTGTGGATCCCTGCGACTCATTTCGATTTGGGTTGGTAACTGTATGTAAATGTTTACTCGCACCACGAAGGTCTCGAAGCAGGTCGCTGGGTTTTTCATATCTGCTCAACGGACCTAGAAAATCTTGAAATCGTACGTTATTCAAACCGTCGGTTAACCATTCTATGGCCTCTCGTTCCGACATACCGGCATTGTTGCATCTAGCGAGCTTTTCAAAATAATATTCTGTAATATCTTGATTAGGTTTTCTTCGCTAATTTTCTGTTTCTCTCCGAGTCGAGACTGCGTTGCTAACATCCGAGAAATTTTCGCGTAACAATGACTTCCATTGTACCCACGTTCTGCTCATATGCGGCAAGCTATCTCGCCATTTTCGCGCCACCCCGGACATTTTTGCCAACGCGTGATGAATGATAGAAACCTCGTCCGTCCGTCAGGCAGCACGTCCACAAGTTCTCTATAGCGCCTTGGCTCCTCCGGTACTTCTTGTTCGTACATTATTCCGGAAAGCGTGATTTTCTCGCCCCTTGGCTTCACTTTTCCACTACCGAAATCTGCCTATCCTGAACTGTACCCACGGAAAATGCGCACAACACAACGTGCTCCGTTAATACACGCCCAGCACACGTGCTCACTAAAATACTTTGTTCACTCTAAATCGCCGTTTTTAATAAATGGTACTTTTAATAAGTCGACACGCAGAGAATCCCACTTCTGAAAAGTGTGGTATATTAAAGATAGAAAATTCGTTTTAAATATAGACTTTATTAGCTCGACTCCTTTCGTTACTCTCGGCATCGCTCGATAGACTGAGCTTCGCAACGTCGCGTCGGGCGCGCTCGGAAACCGCTTCGCGAACCGGAATCTGCCGACGCCCGTCGATTCGGCGGTCTTCCTTAAAATTTGATTGCTACAATATGTGATTTTTTTTATCTAACTATTCAATGTGATACATGCATTAATAACTATTGTAGAGTAGATTAAAGTAAGGTGTTTATTTTGTAATCGGATAGAGTACAAGAAATAAGTGCGCGTGTTTGCACGTGCAGAGTGAGTTTGGTACGTAAAGTATGCGCGACGCAATCCAAGTTTTTGTAAAATCTATTGGGGTGACGAAGGCAGTTTTTAAAGGGAGGAAAAGATGATCTCTGCAAAGTGCCGTACACCGTGAATGACGTCTTCTTTTTAGAAGAATCAAGGAAAAAGTTACGTCTTCCTCGCTTGTTTGGGTTAGGAAAAGGCCTATACTAAGAGAGTGCCGAGCAGCTCGTGGTGTCGTCTTCTCTCTTAGGAAGGCTGAGTATTTTCTGCCTTTTTGTAGAAAATGCTTGTCTTTTTATACGAAAACTAGGGGCTAGGTCCACCCAATCAGCGCAAAGTGGCGAGTTTAATTTAAAAAAAAGAGCATAACTTTGCGATGATTTTTCACGGAGTTATCATCAGTCAAATTTGGCCAATTTTTGCCTAAATTTTTTCTATGCCATATTTCTTTTGAGCAGTGTATATTATTAATTATTGACCTATTATAAATTGCGTTATATTTTTAGCTATTATTTTATGTATTGTTTGTAGTTAATTATTTCTTCTATTGTGTTCGCAATCGAATTATTAATTTAAGGATATTAGAATAGCCCAACCGTTAGACGAAAAACAGTGGCCGCTTTTGTCAGAGAGTCCGACAGCTACCGAGAGCAAAAACGGGCTAGTTTTTGCGGAGTCTGACTCACTCTCACGTTTCGGGGTCTCGGTACAAGAGACAGACCGTGGGAATGAGAGAGAGACCCCAAATAAACAGCTGATCGGCTGTTAGCTTCGAAGACAGCAAACGACAGTTTCTGAAAATTCGGAATCCGTGGAGGCGAGCGCTGATTGGCTCCGCCGGCCTGCGACATAGTCCGTGGAGGTCTAGAACCTTCCGCGGACGACGATATAAAATAACCATGGACGCCCGAGCGCGGTTAGTTCCAAAATTCCGATATAGCGTTAAGAGACGAATTGCGAAGCGATAATTTACGCGACTTGCGTAGAGAAACTGGAGTTGTTCTTGAGTAGACTACTTTGTCCGTGGCTAGCGGCGAGTACTCAATAAATAGTACTATTAGAAACAACTAGATTAATTTCTTTCGCGTGGCAATATTTATTCGTAGACAATCACAATGTCATCTGCATATTGCAGAATTTTAACCCCCAACTCCCCCAAGCCCTCCGCTATTTTTGCTGTATACAAATTGTACAGAAGAGGGCTGAGGACTGATCCCTGTGGTAGACCCTTCAGCAACTTCATTGGAATCACAACTCCATCCAAACCCCTAATCTCCACCCTTCTTTCCCTTAACCAAGCCAAGATGTATCTTCTGATTTTCCTCGGGCAGTCCATGTTCCTCAATTTCACAGCTACTTCCTTATGTACCACATTGTCATATGCCGCTTTGACGTCTATGAAGGCCGCGGTTACCATCTTTCTTTTCCCCCAGCATTCCTTTATGTTGTTCACCAAGATGCCAATGTTGTCCATCGTCGACCTTCCCTTTCTGAAACCGCTCTGGTTATTATCCATCTTCCCATTTTCTTCCGCCCAAATTCTCATCCTTTCATTAACTAACCTTTCCGCTGTTCATTATTTTTTAAATATTATGTTCATCCACTATTATCGGCTTTTTATATGATACTTTAACATTATAATTATGTAAGTTGCACAACAAAATGTTTATTTTTGACACTGATATGGAAAGAGGTATAAACCATAGACATATTTAATGTTTATGTAAGATAAAAGTTGTGATCTTCACCACGGTTCACCTACCAATTAGGCTTAAATGAAAGCTGGAAGCTTCCCGAACAAGAATCTGTAACGATATCTTGCGGTAATTTTGCGGTTTTCTGAGTTATTCGCATTTATGTTCACACGCGCGCCCTATTATCATACGTGACAACAGCGGTTTCGAACATTTTTCAAATATGTCGTCGCTGACCTTTGCAAAAAGTCTTGTTTTGTAGGTGAAATTTAAGTATCTACACCCATATATATGTAATATATATATATGTTAGAAACTTTTTCGAAAAGAGATGCGTTCCCAATTAAGGTGCTGGGGTAAGTGCCGAGAGGTCAAACTCAGTCCTCTTACCAAAGGCATCCCTGCCTCCCCACTACGTGGCCAGATCCTCCAGGAACAACGTCCCTATTCGACTAAGCAATTCAATAACAATCTATTTATCCTTTTCTACAATCTCAGGAACTAACAAAACACACAGCCCTGCGACATCTGATGTCCATACGACACCAAGTCAATAGCCATCATCTATCGCCACACTTGGACTCTCATAAACCACCTTTCGCTTAGACCTCACGCAGGCTATCCCTATCATAAATCGTTCGAAGGCAAAATAGCACAGGCTAATTGCCCTCAACGACCCTCCAAAATACGTTGGCGCTAACATATATATTACATATTAGATATTTAAAGTTTATTCAACAATTCAAAAAATAAAAATTTATTCACAATTTCTGATATTAAAAAATAAATTTGTTAATGAAGAAAATATTATTATGATAGTTCAAACATTCAAGTTTAAAATGCAAAAAGATTTAATTAATTTCGATAAATAGTTTCCGAAATAAGAATTCATACGTACTAGTTAACTAACCGTATTAGTTAACTAACAAATCAAAATTCGATTTTTAACACAAAAAATTAATTTGTAACACTAATATAATCATTTTATCGAAAAACATTTAAATAATTTATTTCAGAATCGAGGATATTAGTTTTGTCCACGTTTTCGCCGTTTTTCGCCACTGTGCGTCGTATCGGTCGCGTGCACTCGGCGTTTCTCAGTACTTTTCTTACTATATCTATTTACATTATTTCTATATGCTACACTGTTAATATTAGCTCGTACAAACCTGGTGACATGAAGGTAATTGTTGATATTCGGTATTTTTTAAAATTACATAAATGCAATATTTCCTAAAACAGTAAGAAGTTAAGATTTATCAATTGCCTTTCACAATAAACATATGTAATTGGTAAGAGAGATATATCATTTAAATATATTACTATTCAATATTTCTGTTCATCTATAATTTATTACAATATATTTTTGATATAATTTTAATCCAATATTGGAGATATATATTCATTTATTTACAGTATTATTTATAAATATTTATTATTATGAACCTTTTACCATTATAAAACATTACCTCATATTGAAAAATGTGAGTGAATTAAAAAATTGGTAATGAGAATAAATGGGAAACATCATAATACCATTTAATTAAGTTTAATAGTAGTAGATGTTAAATTTCGAAATCCTGTAGTCATACTGTATCTAGGAGCTATTAACAAACTGTCTCGCATTAAAAGACTTTCTTCGACGTGTACGCAAAATTTTTAACGTTCCAAATAAGAATGAATCTCTTGCGCTATTATTTTAAGTTTAGTCTCATCGTATATAAATACACATTTATGTAACTTCTTTATACCAAAATGTGTAGCTGATAAAGCTTAAAATGTATACGTCAGTATGTATTTGGTCGCCATTGTATCTCCA